CAGCTTCCAGCTGCGGACATCTTTCCCCACTAAGGTAAATCTGGCAGCTCGCCCTTGCTCCCGCAGCCCAGCATCCCGTAGGGCATCCGACTTCGGAGCTGGAGCTGCCGCCTTGGCTGGTAGGACAGCAGCAAGAGCCCCCTCCTTGCTCTCCAGGAACATCCCACAGAGTTCCCACTCGAATAGGAAACCCCGTCCGAACACGCCTCCCCGTCTGCTCTCGCCACGCTAACGCGAGGGGTTGTCGAGAGGTTAAGAGGAGACGAATAAAAGAAACAGAGTTTGACCGGCGTCCTTAATCAAAACCCCGCAGCATCACTTCTCGCCAAGCATTAGCAAAACATTCGCTATAGCGAGACCTCGATTCAGACGTGCTAATTCTTTTTTAAAGCCCCTTCCAGTCCAAGCAGTGCCGCCGCTACCTCTCCCGGCGTGGTTCCGCTCTGCCGGCCGGCGCGGGCAGCCCTGCTATTTATGGGTTGCTTCTGAACAGAACAGCACATTATTTGGACGCTGATACAGCAGCTGCGTCCACTGAATTCCATCCATGAGATTTCATCTCAATAGCACGGGCTCGCAGCGTGCTATGGAAACGTTATTCAGATTTCTCCCGGCTGTCCCTTAAAAATGTGCCACTCGATTTACAGAAGATTAACGTCGAAATTCACATCAGCACGTTCACGCCGCTTCTTGCCAGGTTCTCTGGAAAACTCTCCCATCAGCAGTTAACGGGAGGGTTTAGCCTAGAAACCGAGCACAGCGCAAAGCGAAAAAACGTGCAGAATATTTACAGCTTGTTCAGGCTCCAACGCAAGACGCGAGGCGGGTGTCAGCCAGGAGCTCTGCTGGAAGCAGGGCGGGAGCTGGGGGCAGGACTGGTGCTCCGGATTGGGGCCCTTGCCTCGGGAGCGTTACCTCCATCGAGCCCTCTTCCTTTGCAGCCCAGCCCAGCCCATCTCCCTACCCCGCGCGTTTCCTGCCCGCACACACGCTGCCCGGGACTCCAGGAGACTAACGGGGTCTTTTGGGAGCCACGTGCCTGCAGGTGGGCTGATCCGCCTTCACGGGCAAAGCACGATCTCTGGGGGAACGGGGCAGCCCTTCCACAGCGGATGCCAAGCTGGGCACGTTTTACTTTGCTGGTAGCGGGCTCGATTCCCTCCTCTTCAGGGAATGCTAAGCCACGTTCAGCTGCGCACACCTGCGGTTACTGCTGCTCTCACAGGGTTTTCTACCTCCTCTTAGCGTGCCTCATCTTGAAACTAAGAACCACGCATGAAATGTTTACTCAAGTTGCCAAAAAGCTGCTCCGCTAGGACAGGGTGGACAAACTTGGTTCGTCTAGTTGGGAGATGGCTGGAAAACTGTCCTGTCCGTGACTGCGCCCAGATGCAGCCGTCTGGTGCAATTTGCCGTACCGTACCACGTCAGAGCTGTTCATGGCAAGGCTTTTCCTCCCGTCCCGTCGCTGGCGTACGGCCACGCTGGCGGCTTTCCTGGGGAGCTCGGCCCCCGCACAGCGGGGTGACGCACCAGCCAGGCAGGGCAGAGATGATCGCGCAGGGTCTGCTGCGGCACCGCGCTCCCTCTCCGACAGACTTTTCCACCGCTGCCCGTTGCTGCAGTTCCTGTGAAGGATGAAACAAATCCCCACCGAAGGAGTTTCGCCTTCCCGACGGAGCCCGCCCGTGGGATGCTGCCCAGCTCTGACAAACGGGAGCCGAGGGGGGGGGGATGAGGGGTTTTGCAGCGCAAAGCTGACCATGAGCTGCAACCGGCAGCACGGTGCAGCTCAACAGCATTTGTGGTCACCAAACGACACTTTGCACCTACAAAGACCCCAGCACCAAGAGCCGTTTGATATAGTCCGTTTTTAGTGCAGTGCCTTTTCACATTTCCATCTTTTCTTTGATTACAAAGCTGCTTGGCTGTAAAATATAAAATTGCTTCTGTACAGGAGGACTCAAAGGAGAGCACCGAATGGATTAGTTTGTCTCTTTTACCAACCACAATAGCCTGTTTTCAGCAGATTAGAAGCACAGAGCTTTTCTTACCAGTCCATTCCCTGCCAGCGTCCCCATTACACTTCGCTCTGGGGGGGCTGTGAATCCTCCTTTCCCAAACTCACGGAGCTTGTGCATTGATAAGGCAATTGCAAAACCAGGACAGGAGGGGCACTGGAGCTCACTGATTTGTCTCCTAACAGAACTCAAATTTCCTTCTGCTGTCAGCCTCTTAAATCCCTTTGAGAAATGCTTACAGTATAGTGTTAGAAAATAGATTTTTTTTTTTTCCTTAATATCTGGTAAAGCTAAACTTGAATCGTAATTGTACAGTACAATATGCAACAGCCAGAATATCTTTATTACTTAGGAAACTATGTAGTACAAAATATTTTCTATACCACAATGATTCATGGTGTGACCATATTTACACATTCTATAAGGCTTCGTGGAATGATATAAAACCTTTATCTATACAATAGCTCCTTTAAACACAGGCCTGATATCATCACCTTTAATATGGAAAGAGAAGAACCCGTAAGCCATTAGCCCTTGTCCCTCCTCCTTCTCCAATCCCCCCCAGAAGAATCAAAAGCTGTTTCAGGCGATATTTCTGCAGCAGCACTGGGAGCTCGGCGGATGGCCGCGGGGCAGAGGGCCGGGCTCGGCAGCGCT